GTATGTGAAATTTTTGTTTTGATTATTTATTTATATTGTCCTAGTTGTACTTTCAAATGTTTAGTTGGGGAAAAGTACATCAGATAGGAGTTTGGATACAATAATAAACATGCCCTAAATATCAGTTACTTAAACAACCCAAGTTTCCATCCATGTTACACACCATGGGAGGATTACCAGAGCTGACTGCTAACCATCCTCACTCTGAGACTCAAGCTGAGGGACCAGCACCTTCTCCAGCACATCTTAGGGGAGACAAACTAGCAAATGCATTTCAGTGATTAAACATGGGAGGAACAAGCATTAATTTTGGTCTTAGATTTTTAATAAAGTCAGAATTACACACAAGAAGATCACAATGAAGATAAATATGAATTTTTAACTAGAGAATTTAAAACTAATGTGTAGCCTATCCCTATCTCAAACTGCTTTTAGTTTTTAGCCAGGCAGTGGGCACTTGGGAGGCAAAAGCAGGAAGATCTCTGTGGGTTTGAGGCTAGCCTGGTCTACAAGAACTAGTTCCAGGACAGGAACCAAAAGCTTTGGAGAAAGCCTGTCTCAACAATTAAACAAAAACAAAAACCCCTGCTTTTAGTTTTTTATAGAGAACATAGATAAAAAATAAAAGAAAAGTGACTCCCCACTGCTACTGAGATGCAGAAAACGAGAACCAATAAGCTTGTAGACACATCAGCTACAGGGAATTGCATCTACTTAAATGAAATGATATCTAGAGGCAATAGAAATCAAGAAATTGCAGACTGCATAAGAATGAAGATCTTGTGAGACTTTCTGTCTTTAGACAGATTGGCCTTGCTTACTCATCATCATCAAAAGCAAGAAATACAATTTGATTTCCAGTGGGACATACCTGCCCCTGTGGACCGTTCTCCCCAGTTGATGGGCCAACGGAGCCCTCAAGCTTGAGAACCAATGGTGCTTGTAATTGTTTTCTCCACTCTTGCAGTCACAGCTGTGACGGGCATTCATTCAAAACCACAAAACTAACTCTTTAAAAGCTTTCATATGAGATGTTTGCTTCAGAGATCCCAGTTGCCGTGGCGTGGCTCATAGATGTATCCCGACAGGAAAGCGCAAGGACCACGGATTCAAGTTCTGCATATGATTTTGCTTTTTAGTTTTCATTCTCAAACACCCATGGGGAACAGTTCACCCACCAATACCTCCATTACTCTTGAAGTAGTGATGTGTATTATTTATTCACACAGTGCTTCTAGAAACTAAATGAATTTATAGTGCAGTCAGGTTATACATATGTGTTTAACATCATTTTGATACAATATATTTTAGCTATATTCTGTTCCTCCAAAATTGTAGCTAAGCAGTGACCCTTAAGAGAGATGGGAATCAATATGTATTTAAAACTAAGGCCAGCTGTTTGTTAAAGATTAGCATATAATTCCACAATAACTTTCATGTGTTTTTTATGTGTATTAAAGTCTAGACAAATAAAAAGCACATGCATATATTTAAAGTAATTTTAGGGAATGAAAAAATAATTCTGGAGATTTTCTTATTTTAATATCAAATATGGATATATTAATAATTTTCCAGGTTTTTATTTGCTCATGTTCTATTTATTTCTACTAGTAAAATATTATTTGATATTTTTATGGCCTAACATAATGTACATTCTACTTAAGTGCTGACACAACTGTATGTCAACCTGTAGAAGAATGAAAATAGACCCATATCTATCACCATGCACAAAACTCAAGTCCAAATGGATCAAAGACCTCAATATCAATCTGAACACACTGAACCTGATAAAAGAGAAAGTGGGAAGTACCCTACAACAGATGGGCACAGG